TGACAGAAAAGTGGACAAGAGCTTGTTGGGCCGTTTGACCAGCATCAAAGTCAATGGACTTTCCTGTATATGACTTTGGATCTGCATATAGGGCATGGAGTAGGAGTGGGACTGCTTCCTGGAATTAAATAAGGAAAATACACCTCAGTCATTGTTATTCAATTCACTGTAGAGACAACTTCAGGAGAAGGCAAGCAAAACAAAGGTAAAGAAGTCTTGTGAGTCATGTGGCTTCTCATGAAAGTTAGAAGTATCCCATGTTCCTGTGGATCTTGGACTGATTCTAGTCTTACACAGAATGTGAATGACTCCATCACCCAGCAATATTCTTCTACCAGTGTAATTAAGAAAAAAGGGTAGATAGGCCAGGCACAGTGGCCCACACCTGCAATCCCAGCACTTTGGAAGGCTGAGGTGGGCGGATCACAAGGTCAGCAGATTGAGACTATCCTGGCCAACATGGTGAAACCCTGTCTTTACTAAAATACAAAAAGTTAGCCAGGCATGGTGGTGCACACCTGTAGTCCCAGCTACTCGGAAGGCTGAGGCATGGGAATCACTTGAACCTGGAAGGCAGAGATTGCAGAGATCAGGCCACTGCACTCCAGTGTGGTGACAGAGTGAGACCCCATCAAAAAAAAAAAAAAAAAAGGAAAGAAAGAAAAAGAAAAGGAAAAAGAGTGGTTAAAAAATATAGTAGTATACAGGGAAGATAAAGCAGAAAGAAACTAATTCTGTCAGAAAAAAAGTTATGAAAGCCTACCATGATCTCGTATTCCTTTGCTGCAATAGTGTCATGTCTTCATCAGTGACATTGAAAAGATTTATGAAGGCTGGCTTCTGCCAGCATCTTCTGAAGACTCACAAAATTTCTGGAGACAAGAATCATTTATTAAATAAACAAGAAATAGTGCTGGCCAGAAGGCCAATGTGAATGGGAGGATAGTAAGGTTGTAGATACTTATTTACCAAATGTCCAGAGTGTCTACCACATTGTACTTAGGGCTGTCACATACAGATGTGCTGATATGCATGGAGCACCCTAGAGTTGTACAGTGCACATCTTGTGCAACTGTATATAACTGTCTGAGCTGTACTAAAAAGCTGGAGAAAATAGAAACAAATAAATGCCACATCTAGTCAGTAATCTGATTATATTAATGAACCATGCATAGGTACTGGATTAACCTTATTTCTAGAGGAAAATGTATTCTTCTTAGACTGAGAAACTTAAAGGCTAAACAGTATACAAAGTAGATTTGAAATCTCAAATTGAGATTTTCAAACAGATTTGTCTCAGTTCACATGTTCCATGCACTCCTGACTCCAAACAGCTATCCTTGCAAGCACAAGTGGCAAGACTAATGAAATTAGTTGGCCTTACACCCAAACGGCATTAAGCACAATTGTCCAGTGTACTAGCAGCTGTTTCACGATTGCTACAGAAAAAAAAAAATTGTTCTGGCCGGGCGCGGTGGCTCAAGCCTGTAATCCCAGCACTTTGGGAGGCCGAGGAGGGTGGATCACAAGGTCAAGAGATCGAGACCATCCTGGTCAACATGGTGAAACCCCGTCTCTACTAAAAATACAAAAAATTAGCTGGGCATGGTGGCACGTGCCTGTAATCCCAGCTACTCAGGAGGCTGAGGCAGGAGAATTGCTTGAACCCAGGAGGCAGAGGTTGCGGTGAGCCGAGATGGCGCCATTGCACTCCAGCCTGGGTAACAAGAGCGAAACTCCATCTCAAAAAAAAAAAAAAAAAAAAAAAAAAAATTGTTCACAGACACGTAGAACTATCTCAGAGGCAATGCTAATCTAAGCTGGAGAACTGAACAATGTTCAAAGCTAGAAAGTGAAAACTGGGCTGGGGGTTGCCTGGAGGGCAACCTAGGGGGCAAAATTAGCATCACCAACCATTCTGGAAAACAGGTGGTTAGAAGAGGAGAGGCGGAGGAGAAGAACATACACATGAACCAAGTACTGTGGAAGACCGTAGAAATTTCTTATAATAAATAAAACATTTATTTCACAAAGCAAAAAAAAATTCAAATACCACCACCCTAAACCATTACCATCATTAATATGTTTTCATACTAAATTTTAATTTTAACAAGAAGAACTTTAACATTTAGGAACATGATTTCCTCTTAGATTTTCTTTTTTTTTTTTAAGTTAGGGAATAAAGAAAACTATAACCAATATTATGTATCTCATTATCCCTTACCATCCAGTCACATGTATGCCAAAACTTCTGTTTAACTGTAGGCATTCCTTTCCTTCATATCAGAAATAATTTGAGTGAGGGGTTGGGCAGATATAAATTCAGTGTATGTAGGTTCACTTTTTAAAGGAAATTCTTTTTAAAGGAAATTCTGACATACTCTGAAAAAAACTGCTAATCGTGTTAGTAAATATAGAATGAAAAAAATTGCTAAGCATATTAGTAAGTATATAATGCTTCACTCTCCACGTATACGACTTGTCTTCTGTCATATGCAAATTCAGCTGCTTTCCTTTGCAGCTTTATAACAAACTCATATATTAACAGTACATCCAAAGCATTTAAAACTTCACAGTGCCCAGGACACCTGAGACATTCTTGGCACTTGTGCTCTTTAAAAGAGCTAAGCAACCTAAAGAATATGACTAATGTCCAACAATTCGAAGTCTCCTTTATTATACCATCAGATAAAGTGACATTTTACAAGGAAAATGGAAACATTTTAAAACTTGAGGAGTCCAGCACATCTAAAGGATTCCCATTTTATGAACTTACAAAAAAGCTGGATAGTCTGAAAAGTCTTACTTCAAACAAAACAGACTGTTTTTTTCTGTTACTGTTACCTATGCTTACAACCAGATTCCCTATTACCTATAATCTGGCCTTGCGGTCCAATATCAAGGCTGGTAGCAGTAAAATGGAGCTGAAGACTAAGTTCTCCCATGTACATTTGGAATTTGAAAAGTTAGAAAAGTGCTGGCTGCCAGACAAGGTGACTTTCTACTCACCCTCAGCTCAGTGTTCACCATTTTTTAATATCAACCCCCACCCTCACCACCAGCGCCAGCCAGGAGCCTTTTAAGACATTTTTCCCCTACAAAATTTGAATACGGATATATTAAAATACATACCATATGTACCTTACGTATGTCTGTGCGTTACGTATCAAGAGTAAAACTTTTTTCATCCCTCCATGAACCAATTTTCCCCTGCTGGGGGCGATATGACCCCTGTTGAAAATGCGTGTCCCAAACAACAGCTACAAAAACTCAAATGCACATTTAATTGTCTTTTCAAGGCCAGAAATTTCTAAATCAATAACAATTCAGCATCACCTCAGCCAAAACAATGACATCCAAATCATTTTCAAAATAGAAGCTGAAAATATATATCATCTATGAAATGCATAAAATTGGGCCAAATATTGTTGCAGCAGTCAGTAACATTCTGGTTAATTTTTTTTGCATTACTCTCAAGTCATTAAGCTCTATTTGATGCTTGTTCATAGAACCAAAGATTTGATTAGTGTTGAATTTTACACCTTTCAAGAAGCAAAAAAACCAAACACTCTGTGAGAAAACACTTTTCTGGATGACCGCAATTGGTAATTTGCAAAAACAGATAGAAACTGTCCATAGAAAGCACTGCAATTTTCAATTTATCAAACAAACTAACCTCTGCTGCTCACAGAGACCTGAAAACAAATGGCCTGCAAAGTTATTAGTTATAAAAACAAATCAATATTTCATTAAAAACCACTGTGCCATATGCATATGCAATCTAGGAGAAACTTTTCTATCCAAAAAGATTCCGGACTGCCCGTGTTCTACCATAACTTCAAAAAACAACCAACTCTCACCCCAGCATCTTCAAATACTCATGGCCAGAAGTTTAGTAAGACTAATAAAAAGAACAGTCACTAACAAATGCAGGCTATATCCTGTCCAGTTCACTACCAGGATAGTTCTGCATTTTTATATTGTTTCAAAAATAGCGAGGGCAAAGAACGTCCTCTGTATGAGCCAATAAAAAGAACTTCATTACATTAAAAATTGAGCTTACCTACCTTCACTGGTCCTTGTTCATTACTGGAGCCCTGCACCAGCTGGACGTACAACATCATGAAAATATTCACCACTACCCACTCTCTGTACATTTTGAATATTTCAATATTCACTGATTACTAAGCAGTTGACATCAAGCAGCTAGAGAAAATTGTTTCAAAAGGCATTCTCCAGAAAGAAAGTTTGAAACCCCCAAACTTCACATAGAAAACCAAATAATCAGTTGTGATCAAAATCCAATGAAATGATTTCAATTAGGCAAGGTACAATTTTTTTGCACAATCTTACAGATGAGGAGAGATGAAAAAAATGTTAAATGTTCTCATGCTCCAAAAATAATCAGAAGGCAGACATGTCTTCCACCTGAAAAGAAAGCACTTTAAATTCATTTCATGTCCAGCAAATCAAAAAAACATCTCTCCACCGTATGCCCCAGGTTCTAGTTGCTTTGTAAGGAAGTGGTGTGGCCACCAATGCTTACAGCTACAGACAGCTGGAACTCAACTCTGGATTGAAACTTCTTTTCACAGCCTTCATGGAAGCTTGCAGAAGCATGTGTCTTAAATCTGACACAGATTTTGGCAGAAAATACAGAGAAGCCTTGGCTGTAATCCTGTTGCGTCCCTACCAATAGCAGGGCAGTTTTAAGAACTAATTCAAATGTTCAGGTCTTCGGTTATTTTAAAGCAGATAACCTGTAACATGAAACCCCAGCACATAGTCTTGACCTTTGTATCTCAGTACGATTGCTTAAGAAGGATGCTCATGCATCTGCTGCCAATGACACAAAGAAAGCAATCAAATATGATTTTAAAAACCTGCACATGCACAAAAAATAATAAAACATCCATATATACATGAAAAAAAAGGCAAACATACACAAAATGACTTTTTAAACATAAGCTCAGTAACTTAGGTACAAATGAAGACAATGATTTTTAAAGAAACAATAATTAGGTTTATTTGCATGTGCCAGGAAATATCCTACATTTATTGTTACAACAACCACATTATCACTCTAGTGTGGAATTCTTTAGAAGCACTGGCTAAATCAGCTTTAGAAATGGAATGCCTCGAATGGCTTGATGCCACAAATGGCAAAATTCTAGGACACATAGAGACCTATTCTTCTGCTCTCCACTAGTTTCCAATCTTTGATTTCCAAGTTTTGGCCCTTTCAAACCCATTTTTTGCATTTCTGAAATCAAGAATGGCCTGAGAAATCTCTTCACTGGTGTTCATCACAAATGGACCTAGGGCAGAAAGAGACATTCAGAAAGTTCTGTGTGACATTTTCCTCTACCACTAGAAACCGTATATATTTCTGTAGTTCTTAATTTAAAACAAAATCCAAGCACATCCAAAGAGTAGAAGCTTATCTTCACAGTGTTCAATCCCCAAGGACTGTAAGATGAGTTTCTTGACTGGGATTGTGTATGATTATTGATTATAAAGATCAAACTTCGGATAAATGCAATGGCATCTTACCCATTCAGCACAGGTTTCTGACCAGCAATGGTGATCTTTTTTATTAAAAAGAGTCTTAGATACGGTTCTATCACAACTGTTTTTGTAGTTATTTTTATAACATTAGCTAATGTCAAGAACTGAACCCATCTGATATAAAGAATTGACAAATCTTATCATAACTTTGGTGTCTAAGCAGCATATAAGGCTGTATATTTATTTGAGGATTCTAAGTCATTTTTTTTCTTTTTTTTTTCTAAGTCATTTCTAAAAGTTAGCAGCACCTATTGACAATAAACAGAAGATTATATAAATTTCAAGTCCAAAATCATCATTCTTTAAAGTTTTCTAGGGGTTGGCAAATTTTTTTCTAGGAAGGGCTAGATAGTATGTATTTCAGATTTTGTGAGTCAAACGGTTTCAGTCTCAACTACTCAACTCTTTCATCAAAGTGCAAAAGCAGCCTATCATCTATTAAGTATTTATTGAATGCCTACTAACTGACATAGATAGTACAAAAATGAATAGGTATGGCTGTGCCCCAATAAAACTTCATTTACAAAAACATGCAGTGGGCAGATGTAGCCCATGGACCATAGTTTGCTGACCCTTTTGTCTAATTGCTGGGTCTGAACTCAGGTTTTCAAATCTACAAGAAGTCCTCTCCTAATTTACCAGGAGGCAATGTGTGTTTCTTGCCCTTTCTTCATATATTGTAGGGACAGAGAGGTAATGGACTGTCTCACTCCTGTGATCTGCTAGATAAACAAGGCCAGCTTTTATATGGCATTGACAGTGTCTTCAGAGCAGTTGACAGACTTTTTCACTCAGTATATGTCCTCATCCAACCTGTAGAGGTTCCTGACATTCCTTTTATGGAACTTCTGCTCTAAGGAGGCTTTCTCTGGGAGATTATGATTAATATATAACTGTATTGCTTAGAGGAAATAAAACATTCAAACTTCTTAACCATTTTTATCATATCAACACAGATTTGATGATCACTATAATTTATAAATCTTGAGAAGGAAGACACAGGATAATATGCCTTGATAATGCTGAAATCTTTGGAGAGGTTGTGGGGAATAGAATACAAGGTAGGGAAAAAAAATCCAGGCATCTAAATTCATTCATTCAATCTCCTATCTATTAAGTATTTACTGAATTCCTATTAAATGACAGACATTGTGCTAGAAGCTAGAAACATAAAGATGAAAGACAAATAAATGGCAGACTCCCTCTCCTCAAGGGCTCAAATCTATCACACAGATATGAAAAAAAATCATTATAAAACTGTGTTACATATGGAAGGATAAAAGTATGTAAAAACTATAAAATCAGCACAGAAAGGGGAGGAGGGGTAATCCAGGAAAGGATTCACAGAGGGAGTGTTGTTTGAACAGTCACACATAGAGGAAAGGCATGTTCAGGATTAGTATGCTGGAAGAATACTGGAGGGGATAGGGGTACAGTGGTGGAAGGAGGGATCAAAGGGAGAAAAAGAGTGGCAATCTGAAACGTAGGAAGAAGCCAGACCCTCCTGGGCTTTGGATGCAAATCTACAGGAAAGAGTTTAGACCTACTTTTGCAAGTGATTACGAATCACTGTAAGGTTAAATAGGGAGTAATATAATATGATTTATAATTTTTGAAGAAGACTTTTGCATCAGGGTAGAACAGGTGTCCAACTTGGGAGGCTGAGATGCTGGTGGAATTGTTAAGGGTATTTGAGATACAGGATATGGGAGGCTTCGGATGGAGCAAGGTGTTTGGTTCCAGAGTTATTTTTTTTTTTAGATGGAGTCTTGCTCTGTCACCCAGTCTGGAGGGTAGGGGCTTGATCTTGGCTCACTGCAATCATTGTGTATATCTGGGAATTCATGCAAGGCAGGGAAATGCAATGGGATTTTAATGGATGTTGAATTTAATAATTAGTGAAGTGGACATGTGTTTTGTAAGCATTTAAGTAATAAGTTGGGTTTTAGTTGCTTTTAGATGTTCCTCATTTAATCAGACAACAATGATACAAAGAAATCAAAACCCAAAGAGTTGAAGTCATCGTTTGGGTACTTAAGCCAGGATTTTCTGCCTCTATGTACAGTACTATTTCTGCTATATCAGTTACCTCTACTTATTTTTCTTAATAAACAAAGAATAACTTTACTATTTTAGAAATTTTAAAATACGGTTCTTAAGAGTTTCTTTCTTTTTTTTTTTTTTTTTTTTTCACTAAAAATGCAATAGACTACAGGACAGTACTGAAATCACTATTGTTTTTGATAAAGATAAAAAGGATGTTAAAGTTCCCAACAGACTGCAGAATCGTTTTTCAAGTTAAAATTCCCTATGACATAATACAAAAATACGATTTTTGTTCTTCCCACAGTTCCAAACTCAATATCCTACACATGATAGGCATCTAAGAAATGTTTCTTAAAAAAAAGACAGGAATAAACATCATGTATATATTTTTCTCTGATGACAGAAAAATTAAACAAAATCCTCAGATCTGTAGATAGAGAGACAGGACAAAAAAAATACAGCTATTCTTCCCAACAATACTATACATGTATACTGTTTTCAAAGAAAAAGAAAATCAGCCAAGAAAATTGTTGCCATTTTGAGCTTACCATGCTGGACAACTGGTTCTCTTAATGGCTCTCCAGCAATTAAGACAAAGTGACTTCTCTTGGGATCCTAAAGTTAACGAAGAAAACATCAAACAATAAACAGGCTTATTTTCGAAGGTCAAATTGGGAACAATTTGAAATTGACATGCTAGTCAAATGGGCAATGTTCCTAATTCTGAATATAATTTTCAGAAATATTTTCTGTGCAACACCCATTATGGAAATGCTTATTCCTTAAGTTGTTTAGTAGCAACTAGAACTCAAGAATAAGTGCAGGCCACCAAAATATTAACATTTTCAAATTTGAGAAGGAGAATTAAATTAAGATTTCTTTAACTGGAAATATCTTTGTGACAAACTATGAGATTAAACTGGCTTATCATGTGATTTATCATTTCTCAGTAACCATATAATTTTTTTTTGAGACGGAGTCTCACTCTTTCACCTATGCTGGATTGCAGTAGCATGATCTTGGCTCATTGCAACCTCCACCTCCTTATTCAAGCAATTCCCCTGCCTCAGCCTCCCAAGTAGCTGGGATTACAGGCACCCACTACCACTCCTGGCTAATTTTTTTGTATTTTTAGTAGAGACAGGGATTTTACCATGCTGGCCAGACTGGTCTGAGACTCCTGGCCTCAGGTAATCCACCCCCCTTGGCCTCCCAATGTGCTGGGATTACACGCATGAGACACCATACCCAGCCACCATGTAATTTTTAAAAGGGAAGATTAGTTATGTAAATCAAAAAGAAGATTTTATTACTTTTGAAAATTATTACTATTAATATAAAATATGCCCCAGAAATATTGCACTAAATGAAACCTTATAAAAACAGAGCATCCAAGAGACATCTGCTCAGGCAAATTTCTCTCCAAAAGAGTCCTATTATGTTAAAGTCACTAAAAGTTTTCGCTTAGAATTAAGCATTCTATTTTTTTCCTGAAATGGGAAAAAATATGAACCATAATATCCAGTGCTAGTATGGATGCAGGGAAAAATACATGTTCATATACCATTTGGGAGATTTTCAATTGGTGCAGTAATCCTTCAAGAGAGCAATTTGACAATATGACTGAAAACCTCTAATATTCCTAATGTCCTCCGATCTAGTAATGACAGTTTTAGCAATATAGTATAAGGGAATTTCACTATTGTGGCACTATTTATCACAGCAGAAATTGAAAACCGTTCTCCAAAAATGAGGGGTTAAATAATTATATGTTTACAAGAAAAACTATCATATGGCCATTAGAATTCATTTTTTCAACAAATATTTAAGTGTGTAATGAGATGTTCGTAATATACTGTAAGTTTTATAAATGTCACAAAATGGTATGTATATACTATGGTTTAAAAATACCAGGATGTTGGCATTTGTTATTTCTGAATAATGGGAACTAAAGCAAATTTCATTTTCTTCTTTATGCTTTTCTATATTTAAAAAAAAATGCTACAAAAATTTGCTAATTTTAAAAGTTAAAAAGAAACATAAAATAAATATTTTCTAAAGTGTGTTTGGGGAGTTGTTTTAAAATCAAATGCATTTCTGGTTAATAATCATTAGATCATTTCATTATATCAAACTATTAAGCATTTTAAGTAATTCACATGTTAAAACTGTAAGGGTCCTATATTTATCAAACCATATATACATCATATATATATATATATATATATATATATATATATATATACTTTTCAGTAATTTTATTTATTAGAAATGGGTGTTTGGTTTGAAATTAAGGAAAACTGTAGTTCTACTAGAAGTGAATTACATATATACTTAGATATACTTATATGTGGTGTTTTGTGCCCTGGTAACTTAGTTGAGACAACGCGGCAGTTAGCTGTAACAGGTAGAGTCAGAGGTGCTGCTAGACCCCAGCTAGTCCTAATCCTCCTGCATGCCCTGTCCAGCTCTTCTTCCTGACTGCTAATTCTGCTGACTAAGAGCAGCTGCAGCCCCATCCCTAGACACTAGACTGCAGAATTACAGACTTCTCCACTACGCTTCTAGATCCATTTCCCTTTTGTGGCCTCATTTCAGTGCCTGGATAGGCTTGGCATTCCAGATTAACTGGTTGGTGACTTCTCTGATTCTCCAGCTTCTACTTTTCTATTTCCATTTCCACAGCTCTTCCCATATGCAAATGCTCCCTCTCTGAGAAGCTGTCTTGTGACTGCCCTCTCAGGAGGAATCCCAAGCTAACCAAATGGAGGGGCCACCTAAAGCAGAACTGAGGCACCTCTAACAACAGCCCCAGCAGAGTCCATCTCCCAGCCTGCCAGCAACATGAGTGACCCCAGAGAAACTAGCAGAACTCCCCATCACATGGAGAAATAATAAATGATTGTTGTTTTAAGCCACTACATTTTAGCGTGGTTACTCACTAATAGATAACTGAACATTATAATTTTCTTTTCAGGCTTCTTTTAGGTTTACCTGATTTAGAATAAAACAATAAAGCCAAAATGATTATACACTTTAAAATGAAGCCTTCAAAAAGTTTAAAACTTCACCCCAATTCTAATATCGCATATTTATAAATATGTAAGCCAATATTATACTACATCATACTTCTACTAATACAAAGCTCTTTAATTAGAAATTATTACAATGTTACTAGTTCCAGAAGATTTGTTACTGGTTTCAATAAAAAATTAATAATTAATTCTTTAATATTCCACAGATTTAATAAAAACTATCATTTTTCACATGACTGAAATTGTTTCCCTTTCCTGCCTTCAACTTAAAAAATAAATGGGACTGTAGGGTACAATGGTTTCTTCAAAAGTCTTGATTTACTCCCTACAGTCCCAGGGCTGGGGTCATTTAATATATCTGCTCAGTTACGATGTTTTGATCACATCTTTACATTTTTATAAGTCTCTAACCATTCCAAGGCCTATATTTATTTATGCACCATCACCTTACTTATCCATAACCCAACTAGCTGTCAAAATAGGCAAACATGAATCTAGATGACACTTTCTTTCCTTAGTTCACCTTCTTCAGTGAAATCTAATAATCTTTCCAGATATACCAGGAAGTAGAGTGATGATGTGGCTGAAAGTCTCAGTTGCTGTTGCCTTGAAAAGTTGTCTATGGTGACCTTGTCTATGGTGTCAAATGATGAAAATCATGCAAAAGCCAAGAGAATTAAAGACCTATTTAAAACCCAAGTACTTACATGGCTCTAAATTAATGCCTTCATGGGATTTGATTTTTAAAACCCATATATGAGTAGCAGAGGTCCACTCACTACTTCATGTATAATTACCCCAACTAACATTCACCGTCTTTTGGCACCCAGACCATGTCTTTTGCTTTGGTGCACCTTCTTAGAGTTTCTGTTACAGAGTTAGGCTCTTCTAGGTTTACTTAATAATTGACTTTTTAAAATTGCTCTTGTTATTCCATAAGTATTTTTGCCAAGCTATGTCTCGAGTTCCACTGATACTGATAATAAATCATCAAAGCCCAGATGAAGGTTTTATGGATCACTTAATATGTTGATAACTTCTAAACTATGAATAGCTACTCAGTTGGTTTTACCAACTATAAGTGTAAAGCTCAAGATGGCAGTAGGATTCTGAGTATGAATCTAAGGTGGGGTCCCCAACTCCCAGGCCATGGACCAGTACTGATTGGTGGTCTGTTGGGAATTGGGCTGCACAACAGGCAAGTGGCAGGTGAGCTAGTGAAGCTTCATCTGTATATATAGTCACTCCCCATTGCTCCCATTACCACCCAAGCTCTGCCTTCTGTCAGATCAGCAGTGGTGCTGGATTCTCATAGGAGCACAAACCCTATTGTGAACTGCATGTACAAGGGATCTAGGTTGCATGCTCCTTATGAGAATATAATACCTAATGATCTGTCACAGTCTGCCATCACCCCTGGATGGGACCATCTAGTTGCAGGAAAATAAATTCAAGGCTCCTACTGATTCTACATTACAGTGAGTTACAGAATTATTTCATTATATATTACAATGTAATAATAATAGAAATAAAGTACACAATAAATGTAGTGCTCTTGAAGCATCCCGAAACAATCCTCAGCCACCCCTGTCTGAGGAAAAATTGTCTTCCATGAAATTGGTCCCTGATGCCAAAAAGGTTGGGGACTGCTGATCAAAGGCCATGTTTTTGCTTCAATAACATTAATTATAGTGATATAATACCTGAAAAAATGATCAGAAAGAAACTGAGCTGACTGGGCGCGGTGGCTGACGCCTATAATCCCAACACTTTGGGAGGCTGAGGCAGGCGGATCATGAGGTCAAGAGATCAAGACCAGCCTGGCCAACATGGTAAAACCCTGTCTCTACTAAAAATACAAAAATGAGCTGGGCGTGGTGGCATGCACCTGTAGTCCCAGCTACTCAGGAGGCTGAGGCAGGAGAATTGCTTGAACCGGGAGGTGGAAGTTGCAGTGAGCCAAGATCGCACCACTGCACTCCAGGCTGGTGACAGAGCGAGACTCCATCTTAAAAAAAAAAAAAGAAAGAATGAATGAAAAAGAAAAAAACTGAACTTTAGCATGACTTACTGCATGTATTTGTTTTTACCAGACTTCATTGGTTATGCTTCTTGGGTCAATGAAAAGATCAAACAATTAACTGTTATCAGCTTTAAAAATTAGTGGTTTAAACACCATGAACTTTTATACATAAACAAGCAAAAAAGTTGTCTCTGGCTTAAACAGGATGTTTTATTTTCTCTTTCAATGTTTATTTTAATCAAATGCTATATATAGTCAAATATTAATATTTATTATATTAATGAGTTTTCCATGAATGGTGCCAGCTAAAAAGCATTGTTACTCTGAAGTATGGCTTTGATGACAGCCAATGAGGTACTGATTCTCTACCTTGGTACGCTACAGGTGAGCTTGCTAATCTATGAGGGTTAAGACCTTCTCAATAGGATACCAGTATAAACATGGGTCTAAGGGTGATATGGAGCCTTTCATATCAAACTCTTGTACTCCTGATCACGGAGCCATCAGGGCAAGCATCACTTAGGAGAAAGTCCAGAGTACCATCTGTGGGTCAAAGCAGCACAGGAAGCCTTAGCCCTTGAACACCAGAAGCTATTTTGGGAAGACTGGTCCCAGTCTAGGATTAAATGTCCAGAGTAGGACTGTGAAAAAGTTCTAAGATGGAACAGGGAAACCTGGGGCAGAGAGAAGGTGTGATCTTTTGCATCATCCCTTCCTTGTTCTCCTCTCCTGCCCTAGAGACTGGCCACTATAGGAGATACTGCCCATACTACTGGTCAACCAGGAAAATGGGCGTGATGGTGAAGGAAACAGAAAGGAAGAGTAGTAAAAGTCCAGGAGGAACAGAGCCCGAAGAAAGCCAGGCAAAAAAATCAGCTTCTCATTATTGACCACAATTTAGTGCAAATGGGATTGGCACATCACTAGGCAGAAACACCTTCCTTCTTTATCAAATCCTCAGGCTAATGATAGGTCCAAGTGAGGATAACACTGGCTTGGAGCTTGAGTGAGTCAGGGTCTCTTGGAGCCTTTTTCTACCTAAGCCTTCAGGTCTACTATATAAATCCTTACTAGGTAACATGAATGTGGCATGACTATCAAATTAGATATTTGGATTCATAAACTTTCCAGTTACCATTATCGAGCACCTACAATGTACTAAACCAAATGTTTTCTGTAAAGGGCCAGAGAGTTTTAGGCTTTATCTGTCACAACTACTCAATTCCACTGTTATTGGATAAAAGAATCTATAGAAAATATGGAAATGAATGGGTGTCGCTGTGGTCCAATAAAACTTTGTTTATGAAAAAGGTTTGGATTTGGCCTATTGGTCATAAATTACTGACCCCCATGCTCAATCTGGACTAGACTCATAACATATATAATCTCAAATATTCTAACAATCCCTTGCAGTTGGCAGTATTATTTAATTTTGCAGAGAAAGAAACTGAAGCTCAGAGGGCTTTACAAATGTGTCCATAGTCACAACAGCTAACAAGTAGTAAAGCCAAGATCCAAACCTTCATAATCTCTTTTCTGCTGTAATCTAAAGGTGACTTTCTACTATTGTGTGGATATAAGTGACATAGGCCACCTTTAAATGCTGATTTTTTAATATCAATTTTTTCATAGAAATCTTTCTAAAGTTTTGATGGCTCAGGCTATGTTTATACACAGCAACAATTACAGAAGTGCACATAGCAGAATGATGCCACTGGAGCCAGGAGTGCTGCTTGCCAGTGAACTGATGGCTTCAGCTGACTCTTTTCTACGTTGGCTGCACCTGTTCTTCTGACGTCCCTCATCACTTCTTTCTGGTGTTCTATTTTGGCTTCCAACCCCTTACCTGTAATGTGTTTTCTGTGTATTATAGGAAGAACTGAGGTTGCCAATTTAAACCAGGTAATGTTACAAACAACTCTAGTATCAGTAGATTCTTGCCTATGTGTAGCTTTCATGCCTCTTTCCTATATTGGATTGAAAGGTACAGAATTGACATTTTTGTAGTTCAAAAGTGGGAGTTTCATATGGTTTAGTCTAATATTAAAGGGCATTGACCCTGACATATGCATTTTTCTGGTGCTCATGAGGTTTTTCTTCTGTTTGCCTCACAATTCATGGTGATGCTGCAGAAAATGAAAGCAGCAGTAGACTGCTGCCAGAAAAGTGGGCTAAGATCTGATAACTCCTTAGAGCCACTGTGTTCTATAACAACAGGCAGGGTCAGAAGGCCAGAAGTCAGTCAGAGTGCCTCGCTACCGGTCATCTGCACACGGAAATAGTTTTTGAAGTTTGTTTTTTCCCAAGCTTTTACACAATTGTCTCCTCAATCCTCTTTATAAGATTGACTAAACAGACTCACAACATAGTGGCTGAATTACTCAAGGGAATGAAATAGACATGAGAAAGAAACTTGAAAACCTGGGAATAAAATCCTCCCAAGACTCCTAAAATATCAGAAACTTTACTAAAAGAGCAGGGATTCATCACAAAAGGACTGTGAAATGCATCATATCTTTGTCTCAACTCAAAATGGGGATTATTTTCAAAGGGCTCTATGTGAGTATGCATGTAGATCTATATTTCTACTTCTAGAGGGCTGATCTATTTTCACGTATGCTAAAAACAAAATAAACCAATTGTATAAAGAAATAAAAGATAACAAAGATGTGTGGCTTCTAGATTCAAATTTCCAGGGGTAAACAATAGGGACTTTATATGATTCCTGAAGATAATCAATATAGATAAAACTTTAAAATGAACCTATAGAAATCACAGAAATTAATGTAAGGAGATGATAAACTTCCGGTTATAATTTATTCTCTAAGGAAGAGAGAAAAACTTTCAGTTATCCACAGCATTTAGGCATTCTCTTCGAAACCAGTAGAAAGTATATGTTAAGAAAGTTGAAGGAAAATAAAATACTTACCTTGTTCTCCACCTGGACACTGTCACCTTCCCCAAGCACTGCTGTGTGATGAGGTTCTATTTTTTGTTGTGCATCATCGGGCCCTACAAAACCAATTTAATACCCATTATAGTACATTTGTTATACGGTTACTTATTTGGTTAACTACATAGCACCACAATATTAATTTTAATTTGGGAAATAACAGACTTAGTAATTTCCTTAAATCTCTTGGTTAATTATATTTGCTATTATTAAAGCCTATAACTAGTTTGTTTTCAATTTTGAAAAAGTACAAGATGAATCCTGCACTGTTTTCATTTATACTTTTAATGTTATGCTCAAATACTTCAGTTCATATGCACAGTCCTTGGTATCATGTACTCATGTTTCCTTAGGTAAATTATAAACTTTATAAGAATTAAGAAAACTTGGAAAAATTATCAGATGCCATAATTAATTTCAACAAGTATGAATTGAGCACCTACAATTGCCTAGTACTATGGGACAATACAGAGACATGCAAAGTAGATTCCTTTCATAGAAATAATCCAAAATCCCATGAGAGCAAACTAAATCTATACACACAAAATAATCAGAGAATAATTCAACTGAAAAATAAGTTGGATAGTTATTGAATAATGGCTATTAAACTATGAATAAGACTGTTCTAAATGTTGTGGTAACATTCAGGATAGATAAATTTCCATCTCTTCTATACTGAGGTTTACAAACAAAATAACACAAATGAAAGTATCTCTTAAAGGCAATGATAAATTCATAAGCAAAGTTCAGTAAGAGAACAGGAGTGACAGGGGCTTCTGCAGGTCTAGGGACCCCAGAAATTTGTTGTGGAGGAGGTAAGACTTGAACAGAGCTCTGTAGAATTAGATAAACTACAAGACGCAAATCTGGGGAAAAGGATATTCTACACAAGAGAAAAGATTTTGGTGAACATTCTACCTTTCCTGGAACAGTCTTTTGGGAAGAATGATGGAAATGTAAGCTGTCTTCAGATCAGGGAAAGCCTTTAAAATCCATGTTTATCCATATGACAGCCCTTGAGGAGTGTGTGTGTGTGTGTGTATGAGAGAGAGGGAGAGAGAGAGAGAAATTACCAGATCTGTGTCTTGGAGAAATAACTCTGATGGCAGAATGTGGAGTGAATTATTGGAGGGGACAAGACTGAAGAGTTAGGATGACCTGTTAGGAGTTTGCTATAACAGTCTTAGTGAAAATGAATTACAGTCTGAATTGAGAAAGCAGCAACAGAAAGATAGGGATGGATTTGACAGGTGGAGTTGAAGAAGAATCTAAAGTATTGGGCAACAGTGGGAGAGAGAGAAGTCGAACATGATTCTCACTAGGAGCAGAAGAATGTAGTGACTTGAAGATTGCAAGAGTGGTTCTGCAAGAGGAGGCTGCAGAATGGAGAGGCCAGAGTGGGCCACAGAAGGCTGGAGAGAAAGGGTGATATTTGGACTAGGTCTTTCAGTTGGGTAAAAGCCACAATATATGAATGGACGAGAGAGTGAAGATTTCAAATTGAGTGAGCAGCCCATAACATGTATAGGAAACCAGTAGAAAGGTTTCCTGCATGCCCTTTTGGGATGTAAATAAGGGCATTCATGTGACAAGTTGGAGCTGAATAATCAATATGGAAATGCTTATTAAAATGGGAATAATAGTTTGAGCAATTATTATGTAAACAGAAACATAATTTGTGAATTTTGGACATATTAGTTGGATTCCGAACTACTATATTTTCTAGAGAAGTCCTCACTTCCACTTTGGAAATAACCAATATGAGTCAGCAGAGCACATTCTGATGATTGCAAACATGAAATAGGATTCTAATAGAGGAGGGATTCTTAACGTGGAGTCAATGTCCTCCCAAGGAGTCCATGGATGGAATTCAGAGCACGGGTGAACTTGGATAGGAGATAAATTACATGTTTACTTTCACTAACAGCTAAATTGAAACGTATCTTTTCCTTCAACCATGAATGTAGCCAATAAGCCACAGTAGTATTAGCTGGACTGTGAGACTTCGTCTCCAGTAGAAATCATAGATATTTTCATATCACATTATGATTTTGTAGATATCTCAAAATATAGTTTGTTAATTATTATGTAAAATTTAGAGCAGACCTGCTAATCATGTTATGTCAAATGTCATTAGAGAAGCACACATATAACTGTATCCCTAAACCTGTTCTTTAACGTTTTCATAACTGCACTGACTGCACTGACTTTAAAAACATTATTCGAGGAGGTAGAGGGCTTGGCAGATGTCAAAAAGGTCCATGGCAGTAAAAAGATTAACAACTTCTGTCCCAGAGGCAGCAGTATGCTGGTTAATGTTTAACAACTGGCTTTCAGGAATAAGAGGGGAGAACTAACCTGATTTGTAAGTGTGTGCCAATTTCTGTGGTGTAAATACTCCCACTGTGGCCAATTTCAACCTACTAATGTGAGGCCAGGGAAGGCACACAATCAGCTCCTGCAAGCTAGCAAGAGCCAGCCCTAGCATAAAACTAAAAGTTTCTCCTACATCAAATATTTCGGTCAACAAACATCATGAAAGGAAATGATAGAATTCCATCAATTTTCTACTTATACAGGGATTTGGCAATAAAAGAGAAGTCTGGGAGTTAAAAAAGAATCTCATTTAGAGTTGAGTAATATTTTTAACTGTGATATGGAGCAGCATTTTATTAAGTGTGCTTTACCGAAATCCCCTGGGAGCAATAAACCATGTTTTCATCTTCAACAAATTCATATATAATACTCATTAACCATGTGGTCCACTCCTGGCCTCTAATTTTGCCATGTAGGATGTTTCATGATACATATACCAAAACAGTTTATAAAGTCCTTCGTTATGTTTTAATGGAGTGAGCTGGCGAAAGGGTGCTAAAAAATAATGCTGAATTGGTATTTCTTTGCACCCCTTATCAGGGGAGCTTGCTTGACTATGGTGTTCATTGGTCTGTGAGGAAATCTTAACAAAGAGTTCAGCTTGTCTAAAGGGCTCTAATTCTAATTGTGTATGGGATGCAATGTCTGCCCATTCTCTTTGCAATCTCAGTGTTGATACTAACGATGTCATTTGAAATGCTCCACTCTAAGGTAAATATTTTTATTTATTTTCTTTTGAGACAGAGTCTTACTCTGTTGCAGAGTCTAAAGTACAGTGGTACAGTCACAGCTCACTGCAGCCTCAACCTCTAGGGTTTAAGTGATCCTCCCACCTCAACCTCCCAAGTAGCTGGGACCACAGGCATGCATTACCATGCCCAGCTAATTAAAAAAAAAAAATTGACTGAGGCAGCATCTCATCATGTTGCCCAGGCTGGTCTCAAACTCCTGGGCTCAAGCAATCCTCCCATCTCAGTCCCCCAAAGTGCTGGGATTACAGGAATTAGCCATCACATCTAGCCAAGGTAAACCTTTCTTATAGACACTGGAGTCAGGGTTTCAGGTTAATAATAACTGCCAGTGTACTTTTAGCTTCTGTATTATTACGTGAAATGCTTAAAACAGGGCCACAGAAAGCAAAGAGTGATTCTATCTTTATTTGCAGATCATTTTTATGATATTCACCCATCTGGTTATCTCCTGAACCTAAAATGAGTCTCAAAAAATACTTGTTTATGACTACTTTCAATTATAAATATAGCCAAATCAGATAACAAATAGTTTCCATTGGGAATCACTGCCAAGAATGTTAAATCTAATAACATAGTTAAAGAAAATTTTAACTGAAAACAATTTAATTGTAATTTTTTTGCCTAAACAGTCATAAAAGGGTAAAATGCTTCAAAACCTATTTTAAAGTTAGTGCTGCATCTTCAGTGTGTGGTTAATTGCTGTACAACTTTTCTGCAAATGCCAATTTTTATTTTCCTTTTTTTCTAATAATTGCTGTCCTTCTTATTCTGTTCTATACACTCCAGTACTTCTATCATAGGTTTTGATATCATCAATTTTATATGTGTAGTTGAAGACTTCTTACCCATTCAACTGAGATTGTTAATTGAAAAAGACAGTCAAACTGCCTCAAACATTTTATTTTAAAGCATAAACATGCATTTGTTTGTAAATTTTTAGAAATACCCCTGTATCATTTTGGGAGGCCAAGGCAGGAGGATTGCCTGAGCCTAGGATTTCAAGACCAGCCTGGGCAACACAGGGAGACTTTGTCTCTATGAAAAATTTTTAGGCACGGTGATGCCCACCTGTCATCACAGCTACTTAGGAGACAAGTGGGAGGAGTGCTTGAACCAAAAAAAAAAAAAGAAAAAGAAAAAGAAAAAGAGCCGGGCACAGTGGCTCAAGCCTGTAATCACAGTACTTTGGGAGGCCGAGGCGGGTGGATCACGAGGTCAAGAGATCGAGACCATCCTGGTCAAAATGGTGAAACCCCGTCTCTACTAAAAATACAAAAATTAGCTGGGCATGGTGGCGCGTGCCTGTAATCCCAGCTACTCAGGAGGCTGAGGTAGGAGAATTGCTTGAACCCAGGAGGCGGAGGTTGCGGTGAGCCGAGATCGCGCCATTGCACTCCAGCCTGGGTAACAAGAGCGAAACTCCGTCTCCAAAAAATAAATAAATAAATAAAAGAAAAGAAAAAGAAAAAAAGAAATGTAGTTAAGGTGGGTCTACTGACTGGATTGAAGAATTTTCTTTCTTTCTTTCCTTCTTTTTAATTAAAGATGGGGTTTTACCATGATGGCCAGGCTGGTCTTGAACTTCTGACCTCAGGTGATCCACCCACCTTGGCCTCCCAAAGTGCTAGGATTACAGGCGTGGGCCACTGCGCCCGGTGAAGAATTTTCTTTTTAAAGCATACCATAATGCACCATCCATTAGATTATTAGTTTCCCCAAATCTTCCATAAAGTCAAAGGCATTTTCTTATTATAAAAAAATGTTTTTGAGACGGAGTCTTGCTCTTTCACCAGGCTGGAGGGCAGTGGCGTGATCTCGGCTCACTGCAACCTCTGCCTCCTGGGTACAAGCAATTCTCTGCCTCAGCCTCCCGAGTAGCTGGGATTACAGGTGCCTGCCACCATGCCCGGCTAATTTTTGTATTTTTAGGA